ACATTAATAAATGTGTTGACGTTTTAGAAAAAATGGCGGCGATTTTGACGCAAGAGTTGCTGACGAATCCCCATTTTCCTACTACTTACAAAAATTCCGTATGCATTCCATATGACATTGAAGATGAATAAAACAATTGATTAGTTTTGACAACATTTGACCAAATTATATTTGTAAAAAAAATATTAAAATGTTAACATTCTATTTAATCGAAGTGGCCACGCAGTGACATGTGTATGAAAAAAGTGTTCATGGTAGCGTTCATGTATTTTTAATGACATTTTATGAAATGTTTCGTATGAAATCTTCGACGTCTTTTTGAAAATCTTGTCGATGTGCTGAACGTGTGAATCGTATCATTCCACGCAGTATGAAAAACCACTGTTTTTCACAAAATATCGAAAGCAAATTGTCACGATACGATTTATAGTCACTTTTGTTGTTGTACTCAATGAATGTTTGTAGAAAAATTTTGTACTTTTCGTTGCTAATAGTGTTTTTGATCTGAAAATACGCCAATAATTAATGGAATGAAGATTTTAATAGGTGTGCTTTAAGACTCACGAATTTCAATAGATCCTTTCGATCTTTCGGCAATTCATTGGCTTCCGTAGTGGTTTCCGATTTGACTGCCGTGGCTGGTATCTTTGACGATGAACTAGACATAGTTGAAGTGGAATTCATTTTGTGATCGCCTGCTGGATTTGTTGTCATTGAATTGAAAATTTTGCTTGCAGTTGTTTGTAAAACGGATTGGCTCGGTGGTGGTGACGTGAAACTGTTTGGTACCATTTTGTATTTCTTTTTCTTCGGCACTTCACTGTCGGGCGAAGTGTTTGGCGACGATTCAAATACATTGATTGGACTAATATTTTCACCTCCGTTTCGATTACGTTTGTGAATTGTCACTTGAGGAGAATTGTCAGCAGAGACATTGTTGAAGTTGATGCTCTGAAATATGAAAAATGTTTTGTTTGCATGAAAATTAAATGAAATAAACCAATTTGTGGTTTTCAATTTCTCTTACTTTTACTGTTTGATTCAAACCGCTGAAAAGATCCACACTTTTATTTGCCATCGAGGGTGCGGCTGAATGTTTGTACATATCTAAGCAGAATGCTTCGTTGGCTTTTGGCACATTATTCCAACTTTTATCAGCTTCTCTGACTTTCTGATGTGTTTCGGTTGACATTTTATATTTGGGTCCAGATGTTGCTGTGCTAATTGCACTGCCTTTTGACTCGTTGGGCATCTCTTCGGGCAACAGTGGCTTTAAGCCGGGTTGAGGTAGCTACAATGATTTGTTTCTTTTGAATTGAACTGTTTAATAAATAAACTGAAATAAATACCGTTTTCTCTGCGTTTCTAAAGAACCGTGCTAGCTCTCCAATCATTTGGCCAAATGGCTGATTAGAATTCTGATTATTTAAATGGCCTTGAATCCATCGTGACAACTGTCCCTTTTGCCGTGGATTATGAAAACGGGTGTCACACAATAGAATTGCTCCATAATCATTTTTATGCCGAATTACTCGACCGATAGCTTGATTCACCGCTCGGCTCGCTTCTAAGAAATACCTAAGGGGAGAATCACAAAAGAAAAGAATAAAGTTTAAAATAATCGATAAGTAATCGGAAAATAATCGTAAAACAATCAATAATAATTAATAAGTAATTTTTAAGAAAAATCATAAGAAATACCAGTCATCGCCTGATAACAGTTCATTTTCTCGTGTTCGATTTTCGTTCAGGTATTTCTTTTTCAAGATTACTTTTGGATCTTTGAACGGTGGATAAGGAAGCCCGGTGATTATCACGGCGCGTCCAAACATATCAGCAAAATCCAAACCTTCGGATACCTTTCCACGACACACAGCCATAAAAATGGCACCCTTGCTGTTTGGTGCATTGATTTTTGCATAGTAATCCGTCATCGTAGTGACAAATGCTTCTTTTGTTTGCGGTTCCACAAAGACCTGCTTCTTTTGATCGATCGACGACCAAACTCCTTGCTCTTGCCACACCGTTTTGCATTTGTTCATCACAAAATATGAAGGAAAAAATACCAACAAACCACCAGGTATAACCGGGCAGAGGGAGGCAATTGTTCTGCCCAATGACAGAATGTAGTCCATGTTATCGCTGCAATGTGATGACATAGATTTTATTTTTTAAAAAAATTAAAAGTTGAAACCGTGATTTATTACCCACCGATTTTGATAATTTGAATTGAGCACCGTTTTATCCGAACCTTGACCAATTATCTTCACACACACTTGATCGCTTTTGATAATATGTGGATTTTCCAGTTGAACCGATATCGGAATATCCAATTCACTAATCAACGGTTTCAATGGTGCCAGCGTTCCGCTCGTCAAAATGATGCTCCGCACATTTCGTCCCAACAGATGTTGCATTCTGTAAACAATCGATTTAATGTGTTTTCAAGCCATTTTGATCATGTTTATATTTACCCGAATCCTGGACTGAAACACCAAAAACTGACAATCTTCGCAACTGGTTTCGATGTAATTGCTGCTTTTGTCTGCATCCAACCTCCTTCGCTTGTTTTTGTGCCACGTGTCTGCTTCTGTGGCTCAAACTCAATATAAACCTTATAGCATCGGTCCATGCGTTTTCGCAAATCCTCTGCGGAACTTGAAAATGCAATTTGAAGGAATTCATACGCATATTGCAAGCCAGCACCACGTCGAAATACGGAACCACTGGCCTCGGAATCGGTGGTAAGATATATTATCAAAGTGTCCAACAGTTTTATAATCACCTCAACATTTGCTTGAGTAATCTAAGTAAACGAATAGAAAAAAAAAACATTGAAAATCTTTATCACAATGTCTCAAATCAGAAAAAACGCTTACGTTTGCTTTTTCTAGTAGTGAAAAAATATAGCCACCGGTGAATGTCTCTCCATTCAGTGCATTCGGTAGCTTTATTTCATCAACGGTCTTTTCCAGATTCAAGAAAATCTCCTTCAACAATGTTAAATCATCAACTGTGAAATCTGGCGCATTTTCTTCCATTCCACTTCCAATTTGTGCCAACGAACCATCGTTGTTCACCATTTTGTTGAGAATCTAAAACAAAACAAAAATATTTATGAAAAAAATCATGAAAGTGATGAGACTTTTATATTATTAATTTACATGTGACACATCTTCAATGGCCAATGCGATTTGTGTTGATGTAATAACCGCTGACGCCGATTCTTCGCACATTTTCTCCACGTTGTGAGCTTCGTCAAGAATAATTATTGTGTTTTGTAGATCAATTTTGTTGGCTTTGCGCATTTTCGGATCGAGTAAATAGTTATACGGCATGAAAATGATTTCAGCATCGTCAACAAACTCCTTTGATGCATAATACGGGCAACATTTGAGCTTCTTGCCGATGCGGACCAGTTCTTCGATGTCCAGCACACGATTTTCACGAAATTCTGGATTATCTTTTTGGGTGTCGAGACGATTGTGAAAGTGACAGCTACGATTTGTCACTTTTATTTTGCACAATTGTATCTTGTTGGCATTTGACTCTTTGGCCAAATCTGGATGAATGCACAGTTGATCACGCGATCCAATCACTGCGGCTTTCATATGATTGTAGCCGGTTCGCTTAAGTTCTTGCATTGCTGTCAAGGATGAAACGAAAATTGATAAGATAACATTGAATTTTGCGTTTGAAGTGATTGATACCTTGTGAAATTTGCGAATGGGTACGAGAAGCGTAAATAACTCGCGGAACTCCCAACATTGCATTTGTTTGTGAATTGCCGGCAGCGTTTAGCGAATCAACAAATTGATCGATGTACTGACGTCGTTGGGGCAACGAGGCTGTATTGATACCATGCTCCATATTGAAAGCGGCAACTTTATTTAGCTGTTCATCCATGGTTACCTGAACTTGTCGCTTTTTTTCCAACACCCATCCCAACGTCGAACACAAAAGACTGAGAGTCTTTCCAGTACCTGTCGACACATGACAAAAATAAACATACATATCAAATTGAATATACGATCCATTTTATGACAAATTGCCATCGGTTCAACATAATTTTGAGAAATTAAATACCGGTCGGTGATTCGAGCACAGAATTGGCACTTCGATCCAAACATTCAATCACTTTTTCCATATATCGTCGTTGAACATCATACGGTTCGAACGGAAACAAAATCGGAATACCACCAATCGCATATTCAGGCATTGTGTTTCTAATTCAATATTACAAACAATCGAAAATTTACATAAAACGGCACAAAAATAATGATATTTTCAATTATGTACAATAAACAATGCTCCACACTTTAAGTCTTTGTAATGTGACGTTTCTTTGTTGTTTTGCTTTATATTCATAAGTTTTGACAGCTGTTTTGGCGGTTAAACAATTTTCAACTGACAGTTCAGCTCTTTGTTTTCAGTACGCAATACATTTGCCGTATACATTGCTGTTTGTTGTGACAACTTTTATTTCATTCCAACATTTTTCCGTTTATTTTCTGAAAATTTCAATTTAAAATTGGTGTGGTGAATAAAATGTTTGGAGAAAAGGCATTTGAATTGATCAAAGAATTGGATAGAAGTGGTGACAATTTATCATCGTTCAATGTGAGATTTGCCATGTGTTTTTTTATGTAAACGAATTCAATACTTGTTTTTTCTCAATGGCTTTCTTTGCTTTGGTTCAAAATCTTTAATGTGGATATATGAAACCTAATCTGTAATAATCATAATTTCCAATTTCAGGATGAAGGTGTGCGTCAAGTTCTGGACGAAATGAATGCGCTCTTCGATCAAAACTACAAAGATGCGTAAGTTTAAAATTCAAAGAAAACCCCGGCTTCGATTAAATATTTCCTAACTGTATTTTGTTATTTGTTGATAGTGTGGTGTCTACAACCACGAATGACCGGAGTATGGTGCCACTGATAAACTTCCGACATGCCAGTTTGGAGCGAAATAAACGTTGTTTACTCGCCTACTTATACAATCGTTTGGAGTACATAAAAGAGATGCGATGGCAATTTGGTCCGACAATACCGAACGATATCAAACAATTGTTGTGTGAACCCGAAATCCACTTTTTCAATGGATATTCAAAGAATTTGGCATCGTATATGATGTCGGTTGGTGAAGGTTGCGGCATTGATCTCACATCGTATACAAAACCGCCAAAAGCATTATACATTGAAGTTCGTTGTGTGTGCGATTATGGACGTTTTGAGCTTGATAGCGGAGAAGTTGTTTTGCTGAAAAAGAACAGTATGCATTATTTACCACGATCCGAATGCGAACCATTGATTCGACAAGGCATTCTTCAGCACACCGAATAAAAACCGGTTCGTTTTCTATTTAAACACATATGTATCGAAATAAACAATATCATTCAAAACTATCATATTATAAATAAAAAAGTGATGACTTTGTTAATTTCATGACAAATGGCAAAAATCAGCGAAACGGATTTTCATTGTTTTGATTCTAAACGACGAGATGTCACTCAATGCGATAGAGAATTATATGTCGGAATAACGCATCGCCTTATTTTGACATAAGCACAACGTTTGCACGCATACACATGCACGGTAGCGCATACACTTACACACATGCGATTCACTAAAGCGATTTTCCATCGTCGCTCACATCAACTTGAGTGTTTGAGTTTTTCAATAAATGTTAGTTGTCGTTTGACTATTAAAGTGTACACAGCAAACGCAGAAATACACATTACAACCGATTTTATTTACTTATTGAGAATTGCATATAAATAACCATAATTTTTGAAGCGAAATTTCTATTTTTTATTTGATGAAAAATACGAATTTATAAATCTGAAACAAAAAACAATTGAATAAATTTTTGTGTGTATTTTTTGACCTGCTAAAAATTAAACGGTCAATCAAATTTGAATAAGGCGATAAATGTAGAGCCGAAGAAAGAAAGAGAGATAAAAAAAGAGTTTTATAAACAAATTTAAGCGAATTACTAAAGGTAAGATATTTTGTCAAGTGATTTCTATAGATTTTCGGTTAGTTTATATATTTCGTTCGATTCGTTCAGTGGAAATGATGACTGCAAACGTTACAGTAATGAGGAAAGAAAATAGAAGTTGAAATCATAGTTTGTGGTATAGAAATTGGAATAAAATACACATATATATCCAAAATGAATTGAGGGAAAAAAAGAGTACACAGTAGCACCTCTACGCGTAGAACGATAGTGCAATTTCATTGTATTTGCAATGTGTACAAGATAAAATGCGATCTGTTTTCTCTTTCTGTCTCGTTCGCACCACCAGTTTGGTGTCATTCAGTCAGTTTTGCCTGTGTGTTTTCCTCTCTGTCGATCGCACACGAACGAACGCGTCCGAACCAAACCAAAGCATGCGACACGACAAAGAGCGAACAGTGTGTATTTGTAATTTTATATATGAACCAGCAATTGGAATGAATTATCATGCATCTCTTTCTATTCTCGTTCTTTATTTGACAGGTCAATTCGCGTTCATCGCCTGTAGCCACGAGATTTTTTCTTTTGAGCAAAAGCTAAAATTTACGTACGTACACGCAACGGAACCAAAACGTGAGCGGTATCAAAACTCTCTCTCTCTCTTCTCCCTCTCTCCCTCTGTGTGAAATTGTGGAAGAACAAACAACGAAATATTTAAAACAACAGAAAAAAGGAGTCGACAAGGAATTTTTGTTTTGGTGGCTTCGATGCTTCAATACCATTTGGTGCGCTATCGCAAAATTGCACACACATTCGCATACATTAATGTGATGCGCCACCGTAGTTCACGTTTCTGACTGCATACGCTCTCAAGAAGTGTTTTGTTCGCTCTCCATTGATTGAAAAAAAAAAAATCATTGTAACATACCAAATCCAGTCACGGAAGCATTAAAAATCCTTCCGTTCTTTCTTTCTCTCAATTCATCTCTGTAACACTGGACTCTTACATTCCGGTCACCGAATCCCGCAGCGCAAATCACATAAAAATCACGATGAAGACGTATTCAAGTGTATCGCATATGTTCCATTAAAACATAATTGAATGAAAAGAGAAAGAGAAAGAAAAAGAAGACGAATATTTGACTTACGAGGTACATAGCAATATAGTGCCATCTTTGGCACGGAAACTGAAACTGTGTTTTGTATACAGCATTTGTGTTGAACTTTGTTGGTGCTTTTTTTCTCTCTCGTGTTTTTTTCTTGCATTTCATTTACATTGAACACACATCTAAATTCAGTCTGTACGTGGTGTTCATTTCATTCATTTCGGTCGTCATACATTTACAGCGCTCTCTCAGTGTATGTATAACGCTTGACATACGCACTCGCACACACCAATATCATTTGATACGAGAGCGAATGTCACATTTTACACATAACAACAAATTCGTACACCAAAGGAAGAAAAAGCACCATCGAACACAACCATTTTTTTTCACCATCATTTTATTTACACTTTTAATCGTTTCTATATTTTTTTTTTGTATTTGTTATTGTCTTTTTTAAACAATTTCTATAGTGTGGCTAAAGTTCAAACATTGATTGAAATACGTGGATTTATCGAAAAGAAAGTTGAAACGAAGAAAAAAAAAGAAGAATCAAACCGAATCGCATCGTTTGGATAAAAGCGAAATTGTTTTCATTTTGTTCAATTATCTGCCACACACATCGAATCAAAGCGAATATACGCGCTGCTAATGTTTTACATTCGGTGCAAAATCATTGAATTGATAAATTGTGTTATTGGCGTAAACAGCGTACGGTCGAAACAAACGACAAAATGACAATTATTTTATTTCTGATTGACACATCGGCATCGATGTGCCAGAAAGCATATGTAAACGGTGTACAAAAGACTTATTTGGATATTGCAAAAGGTGCAGTGGAAACATTTTTAAAATATCGACAACGATCACAAGATTGTATGGGCGATCGTTATATGCTGTTAACATTTGAAGATCCACCGTGCAACGTAAAAGCTGGATGGAAAGAGAATCATTTTACATTTATAAATGAATTGAAAAATTTACAAAGCAATGGACTCACATCGATGGGTGAAGCATTGAAAAATGCATTCGATTTACTTAATTTGAATCGAATGCAATCGGGCATTGATACATATGGACAGGGACGGTGTCCATTTTATTTAGAACCATCGGTTATAATTGTCATCACCGACGGTGGACGCTACTCGTACAAGAATGGAGTACATCAGGAGATCGTATTAAATCAATATACAGGCATGAAATTAACAAAGGAACCATTTCGATGGGATCAACGATTATTTTCGCTGGTGCTACGAATGGCCGGTAATAAAGTTGATGAAAGAGTTGAAGGTAATTGATTCTAGTTTCCAATAATACATGTTGCAATTAAAACTATAATTGAGCGAATTGTCTAATCGATATTGAATTTTTTTTTCTGTTCATATAGGTAAAGTTCCACATGACGATTCGCCGATTGAACGAATGTGTGAAGTGACGGGTGGCCGTTCGTATCGTATAAAATCACAGTATGTGTTGAATCAATGTATTGAAAGTTTGGTGCAAAAAGTGCAACCGGGTGTTGTTGTCCAGTTTGAACAATTGTTGGCCAAAGATTTGAAAGACGGTGAAATTCAAGACATTGCATTTCAACAAACAAAGAAAATGATTTATGTGGCAAAGCATCCATCACAAAAGAATCAATTTCCGGTTGGTTTTTGGCCCATACCCGAACCATATTGGCCCGATGCAAAACTCATCACATTGCCCACACGCGATGCACATCCGAAAATTCGCATAATCACACCATGTGTCGATGAACCGCCAATGGTTCGCAATTTTCCGGTTGATAAATATGAAGTCGAAGCCAGTCCATTAACACTACAGATTTTATCAAAACGTGAATCAAACAAATGTTGGCCCGTTGTGATTTCAAATGGTAATTATACGCTTGAACAACCATTCGGATACCTAAAAACGTGTCCACCATTTACGCAAGTGTATTTAATCATTTTGCCATATAATTATCCGGTTCTGTTGCCGTTGGTAAATGAGCTACTGCATAAGTATAATTCATCGCCACCACCCGATTGGACCTATCGTTTTAGTTTGTATCTGCGTCAAATACCACCATATTATGCACCATTTCTACGACGTGCTCTCAACACAGCCAATGTTCCGTACAATTTTCTACAATACATTCTGCCCGAAAATTTAGATAATTATCTCAGTCCGTCGGTTGCAAACTATTTGAAAACAATTAAGAATACAGCAAAACAAGAACAAGAGAATATGTGCTTGCGTGTGCTGAAACAATTGAAAATGCCGAAGCCACCATTCCATCAAGTTGAAACGACAAAATTGAATTTGGGACTGAATTCAAAACGTGATCTCGTCACACATCCACAATTGCGTGAAACATTTGCCAAAGTAAATAGTGAAGTGATTTCATCGGAAAATTATACGATCGTTGTGCCGACGGTGAACGAACAAGGTCCGGCAAAAAATTATCGAAATCCATTCGATATTCCACGGCATGATCTGATCGATGAGATTGCACGCATGCGAGAGAATTTCTACAAACTTCCCACATCCAATATTACAATCACAAGCAAAGATTTTGGTCATTGTTTGCCAATTTCCGATATGGGCAATTATCAAGAATATTTGAAGAACAAAGAGACACCATTGCGAGAAATTGAACCGACCAATGTGCGACAACATATGTTTGGCAATCCATACAAGAAAGACAAGCACATGGTGATGGTCGACGAAGCCGATTTGGGTGAAGTTATAATGAAACCGAGCCCGAATCCATTGGGAAAGAAAATGGAAGTCATTAATCGTACGAGAAAACGAAAAGCAGGCCCAATTCGAAAAGATTATGTGTTCAGACGCTTGTCAACCGATTCGTGCAGCAGCTTTGGTTCGAATGATTCGAGCGATGCGGACGATACACGTTCCATATCAGATACATTATCAATAAATTCGGATAGTGATGAGAATGAGCTAACAATTGATTTGGGTTTCAATCAACCATCGGTGGTGGAACAAGATTTTATGGTGAACGGTCATGTGCAAAGTTTCATCAATGGTGAAAATAGTGATGATTCGGATGATGTAATAATGCAACCAGCACCATCGATAAGTACACAAAATTTGAATACGGGTCCATTATTGTCACCAATCCTGATAAATGCACCGTATATAAATCAAACGTTGCCTTCGCCAATACAAATACAAGCACCCATACCGATTGCGATCAATCAAACGTATCCAACACCATCAACCACATCATCGCCACTGTCACAACAAAATGGGTCGTCAACACAGCCAACGGTGGTAACGCCAGCTGCTCCACCTCCAGCCCATGCTCAAGCACACAATGACTTAAATGATGCACAGGAAATTTCAAAAATTCTGCAGCAATGCCATAACGGAACGACTACAAATAGCGCCAGCAACAGTAACAATATTAGCATAAGCAACAATAATAGCAACAGTTCAATCTCACATGGAAATATCAACAGCAATAATAGTAATGGAAATAGTGGCATATTATTTGAGCCAATTTCGTCATCGCATTTAAATCAAAAATCATCAACAACATCATCATCAACCACGTCGTCCACAACGTCGTCGTCCATAAATCGTGATACGCCAACAACAAATCGCAACGAATTTGAAGTCGCAAATCCATTCACACCAACAACCAATGTATCACATCATTCGACACACAATCATCACACAAACAATTTAGACAGCACTGCAACGCATAAAAAACAACAACACCACGATATTCAAAGCAATACAACAACAAATAATAATAGCAAATCCGAAGAGGACACACATCACCGCAACGATAATGATGATGAGCTAAAAGAAACAATACGACAACATAATTTACAAACACGAAAAATTATTTTCCAAGATATTCGACGACCCGGTCGTGACTATTCACAATTGCTTGAACATTTGGATCTGATCAAAGGCAATCTGGAAACAAAATTACAATTCATTGAAATGTGCATTGAAGAATCGCAACGATTCCGACGGAAAAAAATGGCCGACTGCATTCAAGAATGGTGGGATAAATATGTTGATCGAACGAATAATTTCAATTCAATTGAATTTGCCACGTGATGAGTGTACGCATAAAACGGTTAAAACACAGAAAATTTTATGTGTCGGACGCACATTAAATGCACACATCCACACACACACACACACACACACACACACACCATACATTGAATGTAAATACATTTTGTTATTGATCACACATATATACACCGCACCGGTGTGTCGTGTCACAAACAACACATATATTTTGTGCGAATGCTAAAGCAATTGCTCGACTGGATATTTATTGGAGCAAAAAATCGTCTTTAGTTAGTTTCATATAGTATAATGTCTGTCAAAATAAGCAAAAAAAGAACAATTTTCATTTTTTCAGCAAAAAAAAACAGAGAAAGAAAACAAATGAACATTGATGTATGTTGTAATTTCACTAGATTTGCTGCTTTTGTTTCATTTGTATAAGATTATCTTTAAAAATCTGTAAATAACTTTTTTTTAAAAAAAGAAAAGATTGAATACGACATTATTTTAATATTTCGAAAGCAAAAAAAAACCGCCATCGATTCATTTCATTTTTGTTTTAAAATTTTGTCCGGTCGAATATTTTTTAGACAGCGGATTTATTTATTATTTTATTTTTGTTCGCTGCAAATCACATTGTAATCGAGAATCGAAATTGGAAATCTATGCAAAATATCTGAATAAATGTTATGCAAAACTTTTTTCCCGATGAAAACATACAATGATGACAATAAACTGAATTCGCAGCACCTGGATGCAGTCTTGTATGCAGTCAGTTCATATGTTATGTGTTTCCCTTTGAAATGAAATGCCCTTATGGATAATAATCAAGGCTGACTCTTCGCTTCCTCATTTCAAATACGGAACTTCTTGTCTGTCCAAATTTGGTGAAATAAAAACATTTTCAAATGGTATCTATTTTCTTCGAAATAGCTATGAATTCATCGAAATTTTGATTTCTGAAATGTGACTCATTGCATAACTTTGTACTAGTCGAATCTCGCGTTATCTTTTTTTTCATGTACGACATGAAAGATTTGTTTTACGTTTTTTTTTTATTCAAGCCCGGGAATTTTTGTTTACGTGAAAGTTCACGCGATCCGCTCGTGAGATTTAGTTGTCAAATGAATGTTGTGTTTATCTGTCATTGAAACCTAACCACAAAATGAATATTGTTTACATTCTGTTATCACAAATTTAAATGCCTTTGCGTGAAATAGGACATATTTCAGGCGAATGATTTATTTTTTGTTTTGATTATCAAGCTTATCTAAAAAAAAAAATTTAATGTCATCGTTTAGCAAAAATTGCTTTGACGCGGTGAAAATATTTGGAATTCGAACTTTTTTTAACAACACAATCTCTCTAAAAAATAAATTTCCCCCGTGTCCAAAATGACGGAATCATATGTAAATAATTGCGAAAAAAAATCATGACGTAAAACAATGATGTGCGATATATTTGTAAACAATGTTGTTTAGAATTTCTATCTTTGAGGTGATCACATTTTCCTGAATATTTTTTTTTATTATTATTAAAATGATGTGTTCATTTGTCGTCCCACGTTCATTGTGTTGTAAACTGGTTGTATGTAGATTTGGTTGACAAAGTTTACGATTTGTCGATTCATTCAATATCGTCGTGTAATTGTATATTGATTTGTAAAATTTCCATTTAGGTCTAGCCAGAGGTTGGATGTGTGCTTTTTCTTTGTCATTCTCTTTCCATCCGCATGTCTTTCAGCCTCTTAATAAGTCAACGCAAATCGCGATAAAAACGATTTACGATCTCTCCATTGCGATTGACAAAACAAAAAAAAAAAAAAAACACACGTCGTATACCTTTCATGCCAAATTCATCGAATATGTTGAGTGGGTCGAACGTTACGTGATGCGTCGTTTTGTCTCCAATTATGGGCTTCCATTTCAATTGCCGGCTGATATAAAAATTGTTCGAGAACAGACAAAGTGTTCACATATCACTACACCACTATTTTCGGCAGTGCGAAACGCGAATTTCGATCTTTAGATGGAATCTTGAATGGAACACTTTATTTTTCATTTAACAACAACAACAACACCAACACCAATGAACAAATTCAGACGTAGAGTGAAAGATATGTGTATATTTTTGGCAGTTGTACACGTCATAACAGATTTTTGTATGGTCCTAAATTGATTTGGACACGAAACAAAAATTTCAGAATGAAAACTTTCCCACACATAATTCTATAGTCGTAAACTTGTTGATTCACCAATGCTTTTTGGTTTTTGTGTCAATCAATATGATTTGTACGATATACATGGAGAATGAGAGGCAAATGAATGTATAAAAGATCGTCATCAACTGTGCGAAAGCGTGTGTAGGTTGGTAAGTAGTAATTTTTCGTCACAACTTTGTGTGTAGTAACTTTTCTGCAAACGGTCTTCTAAAAAATGGTGTATAAACATAAGACTATGTGTGTTGATAAAAAGCCATCATTGCAGTTATACTCAGGCGACAAGCTTATATTGGTTGAAAAAAAAAAGAGACTTATCTGAATACATCGATTGAATAGTTCCACTTACAACACAATAAACTTCAAACATTTTAACCGCTGCTAATACAAAAACTGGATATGATTGATACTTATCGGTCGTCAAGACTATCAAAATTTAATTAGCGATTTCACCATTAAATCCGATTAAAATGAACAACGTGTGCAATTATACTTGCAAATGATTGAATGTTAAGTTGGCGAAGCAGTAAGAAAAAAATGAACTGCGATTTATCGGCGAATTTGTGACGAATATTATAATATAAACTTCCTTAAATATTTACATATTTGTTACACATGTTTTCGATATTGTGGGCGGCTGTCTACCGATTCGTAAATTCAATCATAGTACATCATATTCTTATAAATAGCCATTTTAATCATCTGTTTTCATAACAACGAAGAATGAACGTTCGTTGAAAATATGATCAATTTCACAATGATTTTAGAATCATCTCGAACAGAACAATTATAAATTGCTTGCAAAACCGTTGTATTTGATGCGTTTATTCGTCATCTGGTTCATTGTGTCTAAAAAAAGTGTGAAATATTCATCGCTTTGCGAAATACAGTTGAAATAAAGGTAGCGAAAGTCGCTTTAATTCAAAAAACAAAAAAAAAAATTATTGGGAGTGCAAGAGAAAGAAGAAAAAAATTATACGCGACACATACTGAGTATACTCATATGCTCCGGTAGCCAAAGCGAAACATCCGTTCGTCCGCATCGTCATCAATCTTAATGTTATTGTTGTTGTTTATCGCGACACGTTCGCGTCTAACGGAGCGTCATACACACCGATTCTATTGAGCATATTTAAACGAAATCGCGTTGCGTCTCCCGACAGTATTCAGTCAACAATCTTACGGTTTACAACGCAAAACAAAATAGGTGCTTCGTACCAAATTCGTGCTCAAGTCAATTTCAACCAAAAGAAATTCAATTATATAATCAAAACAATCGGTTTATTGTTTTTACCAAAGTAAAAAGTGAACGATTTTTTATCAGTCCAGTGAACAAGACACACTTGACAATTTCTTAATATACACCATTCTTTTCAATCGCAACGAGCAGTTAAATAAATAAAGAATTAAAAATGGCTGAAAGTGCAAGCAAGAGAAATATTCCAATTAAAATGGGCGATTTCAGTGTCATCGATACAGAATTTTCAAGCATTCGCGAACGTTTCGATCAGGAAATGCGCAAAATGGAAGATGAAATGGCAAAATTCCGTTCGGATTTAATGAATCGCGAAGCAAATTACTTTGAATCGAGCACAAGGTATGTATCATTCGAATAAGGGATAGGCAAACAGACAGACAGACAGATAATTATCTATCATCTTTCGATGATTAAAAGAAAGTGAAAATCAAACAAATTTTTTAGCTAAAAAAACGATAAAACGATAGAATTGATGAGAAGACAAAAAATTATTGTGAATATAAAAAGGGATAAATGAGAACCTTTTCTTATACATTCGGAAAATTTCAGACCAATGTCTATAAATAGCAAATTTACAAATACACCAATATATATGAAGATATAGTATACATCTGGCTGCTAACTGTTTGGTTGAATTTCGGCTTTCTTTTCATCATTTCTCACTGGCTTTTACTGTTTCGGCAATGTCCAAACACAGAGCAAATTGGATGTGCGTTCGACACACGAATATTTCAATTTAATTTTATTTTTAAAATAGTTTTTTTTTCTTTCGTTTGTTTGTTCATTCGTTTCCGCTGCTTGCAGCAGGCAAATGCTCACGATATCGTCGTTGAAAAATTTCTTATTTACATCGAACCAATTTTGCTTTATTTATTTCATATGCTTTCGGTTATAGATACTAAAGCGATAGGTGTTTTTTTTTTATTTCTTCTCATTGCTAAGGAACGAAATTGCTTTGGAATTGTAAACATGCGTGTGAAATAAACCAACAAATGTCGAGACTATAAAAATGACAAAAATCATTTCGTGATTATCGTCGACCAAAGTCATTAAACAATTCGTATTGTTGTTATAAAATGCGATACAGTTTTCGAAAACAGTTCATCATTTTATGAGAAAAATATGTCGAATTCTGCGGTCTTATTTCTCATGTTTTCTTCATTTTTTTAAAATATTATTTTCATCATTCATTTTGTTTCTTTGTGCTTCTTTGTGTTTATTCACATTGAGTATATTTCTTATTCGTTCCTTTCTTGATCAACGTCAGAATAGAGAAAACGTTGAGAAAAAGCACTCGATTACGTCGCGTCAACGGAATGTTGAACAGTAGGCGGCATAGTCTCTGTGTTTTTTTTTTAATTCTCAACAGAAACAAGGCATTAAACACTTCGTTTTGTATGAATTTTAGACAGTTTGCTTGATTACATCGATGCGAATCAATGAATACGGCGCATTTTAGTCGCCTTCCTCGGTGATTGCGGTTTTGAAGCGTGGCATGTATTTCATTGTCATTGCAGTTAAAACGTGTGTGTATAACATTCGCTTTATGAATAAATTAAATCGAATAAAAAGCACATAAATGTTCATGCGATGACAAAGTTCTTTATTCAATTCAAACGTTGCTCATTTAAATTGCCGTTTGAGCATTAGAACAGGTTTCTTCCATAAGTTGGCGTCCATTTTTATGAATGAGCATGAGCTTCCGTTTTGCCTCGTTCAATTTGGGTCCATTCGATGGAAATGGTGTGTGTTTAATTGGACATCACTGATACAAATTCACATTTAACGTCGTAAAATAAACTCTAAAAATTGTAAAACACACTAGTAAAATAGTGAAAAAATTGAGATGGGTCAGTTAACATAAAAGAATGATGATTCATTCAAACATCTAGCCAACTAGAAACTTTGTTGCGATTCAAGGTCACTCACCAATTCAAATTACGCACCAAATATTCGTGCAATACATTAGCAATGATGAATAGGTCGTAAAATTTCCGAAACGCATCTCACACACGATTTTCAACTTCTGTGTAGCGTAGTCGAGTGTTACAATAGTGACATGCGCACTCAATTCGTAAACACTTCGAACGAAACCAAAACACTTGGGCACAAACGGTTTGTATGCTTTTGGTTTCGATGGAAATATACTTGACGATTGTTTTTTTTTTGCTGAACTTATTCTACTTGGCGACAGCTTGACATAAATATATACTACATAGATAAGCATACACTGTATTTTTAATTCCGATGCATATTGCTCTTTTTTTACTTGGACTATTTCTAATTAAAAAAAGGAAGAAAAAGTAAAAAAAATTGATGTAAGATTACTTTGGTGACTCATTGTAGAAATACTTTGGTGACTCACTGTTTATGTTGGCATGTTTCTCGAAGGACCATAAGTTGAATTTTCCTTTTTCGTGATTTTTCGGCATGACACATCGACGGATATCGACCGGGGAACGCTCGACGAAGGGCAATTCAATGTCTATGAATCATCGAAATGAATACACGCCGATGGGGATTTATAAAAAATAGTTCCGCATGAAATCGAACAAAACTAAACGATTCGGCACATGTGGTTCCATAAAAATTGTCATCAAGTTCAAAGTGTTGATAAATTGAATCGAGTATGCGTAATAGATGTTTGTTCCAAATAACCATCATCAAACATAATTATGAATCATGTTCATGGTCTGACAGCCCACCTAATGAGCGCTTTTGGTATTTGGTCGTTGGAATTTTTTCGAGTTCGTTTCACAAGACAAAATGTCGTTCATTCAACCTATGATGCATTGATCCAAGGTTGACGGATTTTAACTCGCTTTAGAATTTTTAGATTTTGCGGACATTTCGTTGGAATTGATCCGTAGCTAACGAAATGTCGATTTTTTTTTTTTTTTCAAAATGAAATACCAACAGTTTTCAAGAGGAAACTAGTCGTACTTGATGGGATTCATCATAAAAATTGCAGTGCGCTTGCACATAAAAAAGATCCGTATGTGAGTTTAAATGCATTCGCATATTAATGAAATGCGATGTGTGAACATTTACAGTTTTGCTGCTAATTAAAACGAATTTTAAGTGGATACATTTATATTCTTGTTCTAAATTTCCAAATCGATCAAACGATTCCACTGCAAAATTCATCACCTGCTGCGATACTGACTAAATCATTTTGGCATTCGATTTGCACAGCAAACACACTCACATACAATCATTTTGGCCAATGTACTTTGTGTGTGTGTGTGAAATTCTACAAGTGAGAAAAACGAGTCTTGACTCGCAGTTTCGTGTGCGGCCAACAAGTAAAAAGCATGCCATCCAAAAATGGTGCAATGAGCCAAAAAAAGCTGGTTCCAAAAAAATTGAATTAAATTTTAAATTGAACCTTAAACATTCGGTCGGAGAATAATCGCTTGTTTGGGAAACCGGTAAAAAAGTTTATGACACCTATCTAAACGCTTGATTAGATTACACGGCCAATTAAATGATGGAAAATTTCACATGAATTTAAATTTTCGTCGAAAGGCAAACAAAGTTGATCTCAATTGATTTGATTAAGTTATCTTGCGGATCGGAATCACACGCAAATTTATTAAATAGATGAATGTGTGTCGTTTTGTTCATTTATCTCATTAAATATTGAGACAAAAATGATGTTCAAAGCGCAATAATTACACTTCATTGACGAATTCGTTATTTTTAGCCGAGCAAATCATTAATCATGACAGTTCGCCAATTGTTGTGAAGCAAAATAGCGTTCAAGCGCGAAAGAGTTTCGCATGAGAAAAAAAAATTGTCGTCATCATGACACAAGCAGACAAAATAAGCATCAAGTGGTCGCATCGATTTGGCGAACGCTTCTGTTTCGTCATATTAATTGTTCATTTTACTGTCACAGATTAGTTTTCTTTTTATTTGTTTACATTATGTGCCGAATTTTGAAAGCGCTCGATCACCTTTTGTGGTGATGGGTAAAAGTATCTCGATAAAAGTTGTCTTTAATTACATACTTTATTCTTTGTTATGACCATATTTGTACAAGTGACTTCAAACCCAACCATGGACAAGCGATGCAATCAACAATCCCATATTTTGGCAAAATGTGAATACGTATACATAAAAACGTGAACGAAGCAAAAAAAAACGCAACTTGATCGAACCATATGCCACAAGAAAATCGATTCGCATTTCCTTATTTGGTCAACAATATGGAACAAAGATAGCCATTGACTTGTTGAATATTTTAAACGGTACAGACACTCACTGACAAATGGTTCATGGCTGCCGACCCAAAACGAAATCACCACCATTTTCTGTTTTCCATTCGCAATCACATCAATTCAAAATTCATGCATTTAAAAATAAAAAACGATCGATAAAAGCAACAATCACAGTAGAAACGCCGACAGAAGGTTGAATGAAGATTTTGTTCCATTTTCTTGGCGAATGCAATGGCGAAAGTAGCTTTTGAAAGAAAATTAATTTTTTGAAGTGTCAAAAGTTAAAAGTGTATCGAAATAATTCTGAGCATTTTCTTTTGTTTTTTGAACGAAAAATCGAGAGCGACACAAAATGAGTAATTTTTCGAAAAATATATATGTTAGAAAGAAAGTTTGAACATAAGCCAAAACAGATGTAAATACAATTCAGACGAGATGGTTTTTAATAGTTTTAGAATTAGATATATAAATAGATATTAAGCTAATACTCTTTTAAATGCGGAATGAATGCGTACTAATCCAAATATCTTTCGAATGACTAATAACTGTAATCATTTTTGCAGGCTCAAAACAAAAACATTTGAAACACAATTTTTTTTTCTCTCTCTCTTCCCTTTTTTCTATTTGCTGGCTATTAATAATTGATCTAAAACCAAATTGTTGATTGACAACATTGCTTGGATGGGTGTGCGTTTGGCATTTGTGTGTCGAATGACATTTACTATTAAATTAACTTCTTGAACTAACCACATGGACTGCGTGTGACTATTTGGCTACTGCATTTGTACATAAAAAAATATTCATACGAAAAATACAAATCCTCTCAACGATTTGCTATTATTCGAAGCAGCAGTTCGACAACTAAAAAAATAACAACGACCAGCAGCAGTGGAAGCAGGTATTGTGTGTGTTCGATAGAATGCGGACTATTCGGTAGCATTTTGTATTTAGACTATCAATGTTTCGGCGTCACCAATTTTTCATCACGAAATGTTGCACATCCACATGAATACCAACGAGACACACACACACTCTCTCTTTCTAGTTGACCTCATTCCAGCATGTTTTTTTTAATTACACAATTGGTTTATTAACATTTTTGCATGCATTCGAACATATTTCTTTCCTCCAGTTGGATTCACTCGTCGCGCTTCGAAACGCGACAACAGTGAAAGCAACATGCAATTTCATTTTAGCGTACAATGTATGGTAGATGTAGAATATTGTAGATCATATCATTGTTTCTAATTTTATGTAAAATACTAAAATATTTTGACTCTCATTTAGATTGAAAAACAGTATCCATTGTTCTTTAGCCCATTTCAGTGTTTTCCCATTGTTTGTGCGCATGTGATTTCTCGATAAAATGTATGCATACTTAAAATAAATGCATTTCATTGTATGTTTCTCTAATCAAATTTTGCATCTTTGTTTTTATGCAGAAAATGTGGCATTCGACTGTAAAAGTCATTTGGAAAAGAAAGGCGAACAAAAGTCCCTCAGTTGAACTGTTTCATAATAAGTTAGATCATAACGTATGGATAAAATAGTTTTTTTTATAGCCAAAGCAGGCTATTAATGAGCCACTTGAAAATCCTACGCAATGCTTCGTGTGCTGGCTTTAATCTGATTAACTGATTAGGAACAGCGTGTCATTGCGCATTACTCGACTGAACGGTTATAAGTAATATCGGCGATATTTCTTTAGCATCGTCGCAACTATTATGGTAACCGCAGCGCCCCGTATCAAGTTTTAATCGATTTTCTCATGAAATATTAACATTCCACATGAAATAGATATTTCGCACCAAAAATACACTTTTAGTTTATCGAAGCTGTCGTATTCCAAGCTGTATGTGATCTTGTGACAACTACATTAAGCCACATTGTCAATTAATTTATCACCCATCTATTTCATTTGAATGAGATCATACGAATGCGATTGGATATACGCATTTAGACTGACTGTACATGTCTGGCTCCAACCAGAAAATAAGCAATTATCAACGGGGGGATCTAGAAAAATGTCAAATAACTATTCTTTTTTTTTTTCAATTCAATTTTTGCCATTTGAAGCAGAAAAAATTGTATGCAAAAAAAACAACTATTTGCAAGTCTATTCAATTAAACAAAGCCCAAATAGGCGATTGGAATGTTTTTAATGGCACTGGGTCATTGTGAAAAAATTAAAAATAAAAGCAATTTGAATGCAAACAATGGGAGCTGGTCATATCGTTGATCTTGTAATATTTTTCAATTCAGTATAGTTGACTCTATTTTCAGAGCAAAGAAAAATTAGGCGTCATCCGTAAAATGGGTTCAATTTTTTTCTTCTGATTCTAACAAACCTTGACATTTGTCTCTATTCGACTCAATTTGACTAACTATTTCCTTATTGTTCAATTTTCCGTTGTCACTTTAAAATGAATGGTTTGCAAAATCGTCCGAATTCGGTGTTGAAAATGTGAACTTCAAATATAAATCGACCGAATTTTGCAAGAGAATACATTCTTAGTCATCAATAATTGCGAAATTATTCTGCATGTTATTTATTGAAATTTGACGAGAAAAATAGCGAATAGAAAACAGCGTTTGAATGGAATCAGTTTACTTTGTCGAGATGTGTTTACACTGCTGAACGGCCTTAGATCGGTTAAATACGTCACCTTGAACGCCAGTGAAAAACTGAAAATGACAAAATTTGTACGATTTCATTCTAGTCGTTTCCATATTTACCTGAACGGCTCACCTACGCAGAACATTAATTAAAAAAAACGTAAACATTCATTCAATGCTTGACGGCGTTGTCTCGTAAAATGATTGAAAAATTCCTGCGCGTTAGATAAACGAATGTCAATTCTTTTGGATTTTCACGTATTTCTTTTTGGCAAAACATGATGTGTTCTTGCGACGCCGAATCGGGCGAAAGAAATACTTCAATTAGTTTCATTCGTTTTTTTGTATATATTTGCATTGCGTTGGCAAAATATTTACCCATTTGAACACGATTCCGAGTCTTGTCGGTCGGCATTTGCATAATATTCAGATGTGTGAATTTGTTACCAATGGACGTGACGAATTTCGCATTTACGGAAGATCCAATCAATTAGTCGAAAAATAGTCGAGTACGATTGGTGAGCGATTAAATCATCGGCGTTAAAATTAGAGAATTATCTAACGATACTAGAACCGTGATCCCACACAGTGAATTAAATAATTGCTTTCCAATCATGCCGACATGAAGATTCGTTCAACTTGCGATTCCGATTCCACCAACGCATAAATAAAACCACCTGACTTGAATATGGAAACATCTTCACGGCACATCCATATAATTCATTAAGAATTTGTCGGATTGAATGTGGCAAAGAAAACAAACTTAATGCGATGTAAAATGAGCGCCAACTTAGAATCACGATTCGAGCCATATTTTCGTGTTGAAACGTGCGTTCAATGGCAATAATATAATTCTCCTTAATTGTTTCACATCAATAGCAATTCAATGGCCCGTAATTTCTATAGAAATCTATTGCAATTAGATGTATGTAAGTCTGACTCTTGCGCATTGGCCTATCAATTAGAGGCCGCGTCATATTTATGCTTTAGTTTCATTTGTTGTCGTCGTTGTTCACTCATCACAATGAAATTATTGTTTTCGTAGTAAAATTGAACATGTTTGTCGTCATAAATATCTTCATTTTTACCTTAAACATACTTATGCACACCACAAATAGAAGCTTGTACATTTGTAGTTTATAGAGTTCAATGTAAAAGGTTCACAATAAGTGTTTAATGTATGACTCTTTTTGTTTCTTTTTTTTATTCTCTTTGCAGCTCAACGACAAGCAACAATCAAAGCATTACAAACAACTCATCGTCGTCGGCATTGTCACCACTCAGAACACAAATCCCAAAACAGAACTACATTTCAGACCTTAACTCACCATTGATTCAGGTAATATTTATTTTTAATATTTACTCCGAAAATGATGCATACATCAACCGTGTTATGTTTGTTGTTGTCGTGTCCATCGCTTTTATATTTTCGTTCGACGCTTCAAAACAATAAACGAACGAAAAAAAAAACACTTTTCATCAAGGTGAACAGAAAAAATGCTCATAAAATAGCTTTATTACGGCTTAAATGATAGTTTTAAGAACAAATCGCTGATATTCTGAAAATTCATACTTTTTTCACGCAACATTAAGTCGAACGATTTATTTTTATCTCAATTTGTTATGGCACCGATTCAATATTTTTCACAAATTGTTTATCTTCAAATTTTTCATTTCTCCGCTGCCGCTGCTGTTTTTTTCTTCTCGTTCAACTTGAACCGACTAATGGTTATTGTTATGCCATTCATTTTGTGAGCCAATTTTCTTAGTTTCATTGAAAGTTTACTTGGACCTTTTAATTGGCAGATCACAAGTGTTTTCAATCACACACGGCTCGATGTTGAAATTAAGCACAAATTCAAACGAAAAAAACAGCAATGGAATGTGTTTGAAATAAACACCAATTGATGTATTTGTCGAATGATTTAAAAAATCGATGTATTTGCAGCATCCTTTTGATTAATAATATTGATTTTTGTTCGTTTTATAGGATGAAGGTGACAGCAAAGTATTAAAATTGAGATTCGATGTAAGCCAATATGCACCAGAAGAAATCGTCGTGAAGACCGTTGACCAGAAGTTATTGGTGAGTAATGCTTGAAAGAAAAAAAACAACAAAAATGTTGGAGCGCATACTGAAAAGCGAATTATTTTTCAGGTGCATGCCAAACATGAAGAGAAATCGGACACAAAGAGCGTATACAGAGAATACAACCGTGAATTCTTATTGCCGAAAGGAGTGAATCCGGAACAAATTCGATCATCACTCTCCAAAGACGGTGTACTCACAGTGGATGCTCCACTTCCCACCCCAGCATTGACTGCTGGCGAAAAATTAATACCAATTGCACACTAAATTTCGAAAGAGAAGAAGTCCAGTCAAAATGTTTTTTTTTTCTCGATTTTTATTTTGTACTTTCTGCTATTGTTTCTTTATATTGTCAAAATTCAGCCATCGTACAAAAATCTCTGACAAAATCCGTTTTGGTTCTTTTGATTTTTGTAAACACATTAACACTAGCTATTAATCTTTTACGTTTTTAAGTAAATTGGTTAAAACAACAAAAAATACAAAATACACTGCAAATTTATTAAATTATAATTTAATCATTTTTACAATTAATAAATCTGTTTAATTTTACAATCGCAGAGCTCTGATGATGATTTTATTTTCATTTAAATAAACCTATTCTATGTACACTTCATTTCCACACGTATTGGTTTTTGATTTCTCTTTGTTTCTCGTGTGCTTCTAAAAAAATTCGAAATTTAAAAGCTTACAATTTTTGCTTTAGCATGTAATTGTGAACAACTGGTTGAATAAAAACTGCCATGAAAATGATGGAATAAAAATAATAAAGATACGAAAAAAGTTCAAATGCATCACGAAACAATAGTTCCTGCATATAAAATGGTACACGAGTTTTCTACAAATATTTCAAAGCAACCTAAAATACACAGCCTTCAAAAGCAAATCAGGTTCAAATAAACGTCCAACGCTTTTCAGCTTCAAACTTTTATGACTAAAATTAACGAAAAAGATTGATTAACTTTGCAAAAATAAATTAAAACAGTATTGCTTAGACATGTTATTTTGCTACATATACTTTAGTGTGACATTCATTTGAAAAGACATATATGCTATTGAATTATTTAAAAATTGAATAAAAATGTTGATGTAGCTTCAACTTCATTAAAAAAAATAGTCATAAGAAGTAAATTCATAAATTATGGTAAAAATGTAATCAAAATTATTGACGAAATCAAAACAGTACAGGAAAAAGATCCATTAAAATCATGTTGTTTTGATTATTACTTTCATTTTATAACAGAATAGAATGACACTTTTCTTCACAAAGTCACACAATATTTATTTTCTGATTTATTGTAAAATCTCATTTACAACAGATATAAACGGAATAAAGATTTTCGTGTTTCGTCAAAAATCGCTTGTTTTATTAATCTTTCAGTTATCAAGGAATTTTATGACCATTTTATGGAACGAAATGAAGGTTAATCAGAACCGCAATTTCTTTTATCATCAAGACTTTTGATTCTCCAAAATTGTTTACGAGAAAGGAATTTTCCTTTATGCGAGTCAAAAATGTCGATTTTATTAACTCACAACCGCCATCACAACAAATTTATTCAAAATTTAAATAAAGTGATGCGCGAGACATATAAAATATTATTTTGCTTAACTCTGAAACGTACTAATGAACCCATCTATTTGGAAAATAATGAACGAAACATGTTCCGTCCAGATGCCAACTTAAGCTTTAAAATTACGTCATAATTATCTTTAATTAACATACAAAGCTTTTTTGTTGCAAAACATTTCGATACGCCTTACAGAATGCTATTTAAGCCGTCAACAGAAATATCTCCGGTCCAGTTTATTTTCGTCAATCAAACATTCAACACTTCGTTTGGAAACATAAATTAATTGAGTAAATTCATCAAATCGTAGCAAAATGAGTGACAAAGTGGCAGTATTGATGGGTGGTACGTCTGCTGAACGGGAAACATCTCTATTGTCGGGTAATTCGGTTGTGACTGGGTTGCGTGAGGCTGGTATTGATGCCCATGCTATAGATACGCGTGATTTTCCTATTCAAAGCCTAAAAGAACAAGGGTTCAAGAAGGCTTTTATCGCGCTGCATGGACGTGGTGGTGAAGACGGTACGTTGCAAGCAGTGTTAGAATCTTTAAACATACCTTATACTGGTAGTGGTGTAATGGCATCGGCCATTGCCATGAGCAAATTGCGTACGAAATTATTGTGGCGTGGATATAATTTACCAGTTGCTCGTTTTGTCTGGCTTACACGTCAACAGAAAGAGGCAGGCCTGGATGATTCAACGTTGAAAAAAATCGAAGCGTTGGGACTACCGATTTTTATAAAGCCAAGTAATGAAGGTTCCAGCATAGGTGTTAGTCGTGTGGATTGCCTAGACGCTTTATCTGCCGCATTGGAAGAAGCATTTAAGTATGACAACGATGTATTGATAGAAGCATTTTTAAGCGGAGCAGAGTATACTGTTGGCATTTTGGGCGATCAGGTTTTGCCATCAGTTCGTATTCAAAGTGAAAATGGATTCTTTGACTATAATGCGAAATATATTTCAGATAAAACACAATTTTTTTGCCCGAGTGGATTGAGCGAAAAACGCGAAGCAGAAATAAGGGCATTAGTTTCATCGGCATGGCGTGTTCTTGGATGTAACGGATGGGGAAGGATTGATGTTATGGCCGACGGTGAAGGCAACTTCCATTTATTGGAAGCCAATACGTCACCAGGCATGACCAGCCACAGTATATTTCCGATGGCCGCTAAAGAAGCTGGACTGTCATTTTCGGAGACTGTGAACCGTATTCTTGAATTGGCTGTTTGATTTAAAATTTTGAATATTTGATTATTTTAACGTGTGCTTCTGCCATAAATAAATTGAAGTACCAACGAATTTTACTACAACAACTACAAACTTTTATGACGAAAACTAATAAACGAAAAATTTGAACAAAGTGAAGTCTACCGCTATCTATACTGTTTAGACATCTAACGCTGTTTTTATGGTCAAATGTATATTTTTTTGGTTCGTTTTTCTAATAAAAGTCAAAGATATTTTTACTGCTGGAATAATAAAAAATAAAATCAACATTATAACATCTATGGTGAAAAATTGAAATCATCACGTGATTTAGTTTATTTTTATTTCAGAATAAATTTTCTAATAGAAAATTTCTATCACACCTAAAAATATACCACTTTATACATATGATATTTATTTATAAGAAATTTAGCGGGTTACTGTGAAATTCCGTTTATAACAGACATAAAAAGAAATTTAAAAAATACGTGACAAAAATAATGTAAAAATATGGTAAAAACACACAGATAGGCATTTTGCCTAAAAGTTCCTAATGAGTATCGAATTTTGTAAGGTCATAACTGCTGATAAATAATTCATTAATTCATTTCACAAAAAAGATTCAGAATAATTTATTAGATAAATCGATAGGAATATTTATGTATTGGCGCTAAGCCCTGCATTTTTCTGACCCATTTGAAAAAGCATATTTGTTGATTGATGACTTTGAATTCTGTCTTTTTCCCGAATTCATATATATATAAATGCATTTCCAGCATTTTTTGTGATTTATGAGAATGAATGACCTAGATCTCAGCAGAGACAATAAAATTGTCAGCAAAAATCATGATATCAAAGGCAATTATTGTTAGTCAATCATTTTTTACGACAAAACCCAATGTTATCGCCACATTTATTTACTTTTCGTTGGCGTAAAAGAAAATTGTGGAATGCCAATGACCATTCTAGTCGAAACCGTTCACATTGAATTGTCTACTTTGTACAATAGTTGAAGTGAAAAAAGCAAAACCTACGATGCAAAAAGAAGTGTCCAAGCATTTTTTATGGGCAACAAAGATTGAAAACTTATTAATTGATTTTTTCATTGATGTTACAATCTGTCCAATCAAAATAGATCGAAATGCGCCGCGAATAAAAGTGAAATATCAAAAATCTTCCAGATTGTTTGCTTTTCTAGGGATAAACATAATTATTCTTTACATATGTGGAATAGTCACAATTCGAATATTTTTTATAAATCCCCAAAGTGAGCTGAGCATCTGGACTGAAGTCATAAATGTGTGTGGTATTTTTACGTCGTGTCTGATTATTTTGATTGAAACTCAATTCACGCACAAATACTTTTCCGATTTTCTATATTTGAAGCAAACAACTGAAAATGAGTTGCAAACATTGTGTTGTCGCGAACTTTTTGAAAATGAAAAATATTTGTACATCAAAACCTATTGGAGATACTTACTTACCTATCAAATAGCCGGTTGGATAATCGATATAATAAATTTAATTGATATTGGACGAGATTCGGTCTGGAAATTTTATACCGGTTGCTTTATAGTGCCGATAATGATGAGTCGATTTCGAACTTTACAACATCAATTGCACATAAAAACATTGAATTTCTACATAAAAATGATTCGGATAAAAATCGAACAGAGTATCAATGATCTGGACAATAATGGATTGTTAGCCAAGCAACAAAATCGACAGCAGTTTGCCATGATGAATCGGAAAATTTTTAATGATTTGAAATTATCAATGCGCATTTTCACAACAATTTTTCGAATGACATATTTAGTGAACAAAACGTTTGGATTTTCTTTATTGGTTATCATTTTTGGATGCTTTATTCATTTGCTGTCGAGCTTTTTTTGGATTTATTCTAAATTGTATTATGAAGACTTGGAAAATCTGTTAGGTTTGTAGAGTATTGCATTTCAATTTACGGATTATGAAAAGGTGACTTTTTCCCTTACAGATATTGTTCTTCAAATGCTCCTGTCAATTCTTTTTGTTGTCATCGAGTTAGCGTCGTGTGAAAGCTGTACAAAAGAGGTAATTTTGATAATTTAATGCTATGAATTGTATTTTAATTGTGTAAAATTTTGAATAAGGTAAATCTGTTGGCGTTTCTTGTCACAAGTCTTGAATTAAACGGAGAATATGCAAATATTTTTGATTTACTGGTAGGCATGGTTTGCAAATTATCTTCATTTTGATTATGAAAAATTAAAATTAAAGTTTATAAATTATATTTCAGCTTGAGAACTTTTCTCTTCAGTTGATGCATGAACCAATCGTATTCTCCGTGGCCGGTGTTTTTCGGCTGAATTTCACCCTTTTGCGTGCAGTAAGTTCAAAGTATTAATATCATTTTTTAGAAATACTCAAAAATATATTTCACATTTTAGATGGTTGCTGGCATTACCACATACATGGTTATTTTCATTCAATTCATGCCCAAGCTGTCTTACAAATTTTATTAATGTAATATCATGTATTCGAAAAATTCAAACTTGCTTAAGAATAAAGGTGCGGATTTAAATATTCAATTTAATAATTTCTAAACTCATAGCCTTGATTTTTTATAGCACGTGTTTTATTACACATTCGGTTAAACTTATCCCAAAAAATCGTATATGAGCATCGAAGTTGAATAGATTTTCGAATAAATCTGTAAAAGAGTAAACGAATTGTGATTTTAATTTAAAATGATAAATTTAGTGAACTAAAAAGACAAGAATATATAAAGACAAGAATCCAAATTAAGAGGTTTAAATCCACCAATTGTTGGTAATGTAGCCTCTTGGCATCGATGCATAAAGAATCTGAACATATGTTTTTCTTTTGTTGACATGAGATGCCAATTCAAATTAATAACAGCATCGTAGATTCTATCATGCTAGAAAAGATCTTTTTCAATAACCCGACAATATATTTGGCTGTCATCATCTGGATGTTACAGTTACAGCTCATATGTATATCGTCAGCAGATGATACGAAGTGAAAATAATAGAAGTGATTGTTATAGGTATATAAGCTTGTTATAACATATGTCCATAAAGTCTTGACAGTAAATTCAGGCGTTCATTGAGCCACATAAACAAAATCAAAAATATCAACCAATGCACACGGCACGTTTATCAGTACCTCAGGACTACTATCAAACTCAATTCGATGAAATACATCCATTCGCGGAGACGTACAAATTGGATTTACGAAAAAGTGTCTCAAATGGTTGTGGCGGCTAAGTTCAAAACAAATTTCGCATGTGTCTAAAGATGAACCCATCTGCCTACGAACCATATATTGTGTTTCATGGACTTAGTATGAAGACAAAGATTCTAGAGAAAGCAAAAAGTACGGTCGTATTCCCTATTTAAATGCTTCAACCCTCCAAAATTGTCATCAAGTACCGAAAACCGGGTTGGTCAAGCAAAAATTCGTTTTTGGTGATTTTTATGGTTACAGCACATCAAAATTTGAACCAAAACAATAGATTTAGACACGATCATTAGTAATCAGCAAAATAAGTTACGAGAAAATTGCAAAGGGTTTCTTTCAAGTGCAAGTGGTTTCTTTTGCATTGATTATGTTAGGGCACTACTATATAAGGCTAGAGACGTCGACAAACCGAACTTTGATAAAGGCGTGTTTGTATGGTAGGATCTTCTTTGGAAGGTGTTTTAGAGCCAATATTCGAGAATTTGGTGCTGAAACGTAAGGTAAAACCTCCATTACATGCTCCATTATCAACCAATTGTTGTTGAAATCGATAGAATTCATTGAGAACTATCTGATTTAACACAAAATTTTGGTTTGCAAGCAGAAAAAACACAATAATGGCTCACTTCTTAAAATATGACATTTCCGTGAAAAAAGGACCATCTGTTTAACTTCACAAAATGACACCAAATTAATTATTTCTCGTCTGTTTTCGGATGTAAGTTATAGGCGAAGGTCCAAAATACTTGAAACAAGCAACAATTAGCGGGAAGGTTCGAGAGAAAGTTGAAAGAAATCGACATATTGGTCCGCCAAAGCATGATTTTGAAGGTTCGACGCATACTGAGAAAAATCGAAGACAATGGCCCGTTCAGTGTAAGGTGAATGTGCTATTCGTAGCCCATTAATGAAGGTTTATACCAATAAAAAAGAATTTAATATTGTATGTTTGTTGTTCAAATAGCGAACATCTGAATTTACTGTCAAGACTTTATGGACATATGTTATACTGGTATTACTATAACAATCACTTCTATTGTTTTCACTTCGCATCATCTGCTGACGGCATCCAGATGAGCTGAAATATCCAGATGACGGCAGCTAAATATATTGTCTGGTAAGTAATCGTATAGATCTCGAAAAAAATGACACTCGCAACCAAACTATAAGCTGCATAAAACAAAGCACTTTTCTCAAATTCGTCATTTAGAATTTCATGGCCCACGAGTTTTAACAAAGTACGTCCCCAAATATGAACAACTCTTGTGAAACGTTCATAACAATTCAATTTTTTGACCCTTTTTGACATCTTTAAAAAAAAAAAAAAAAAAAAAAAACAATGTAGTGTAGATTAATCCCTTCAAATATCAAGCAGTTACTAAAACTCGGACATCATTGGCTTAGGCTAGAACTTGAACTGCATTTTCCCACACGTGGAAATTTTCATACAATTTTTTCATTCATGTATTAACAACAGCAACAGCGATAAATATTGGCAGACTACCTATCCGCGAACGTTTACAAGGACATTTTTTACAGATTATTTACTGTCGTAAATTATTTACTGACATTTTTTACAGATTATTTACTGTGTGTCCACGGTTGGCGCTGGTGAAGCACTTTTTGTATGGAAATATTTGTTGAAAATTCAACAATACGCCACCTATTAAAGACCATAAAGATTTTCGTTACTACTGCTGTGTTGACACAGCTCTAGCGAACTATATAGCTGTATTGCAAACGTATTAGTACTGAGCACACGACTGCGATTCTGTGTATGCGTGTGTGTTGTAAATTTTGCACAAGAAGCTACGTTTGACAACTGAGTGCAGAATTTGCAATACAAACGGACACACAAAATCAGAGTCAGTGTGTTCTTTAGTAACAAAAATCTTTAAGTTTTTTAATAGATGTCGTATTCGTTGAATCTTCAACAAAAAATCTTCGATACCAGCGCCCACCGACGACACACTAGTATTAAATGCGTCAATTAAAAATAAAATTTTGCTCATTACTGTTCCTCAATTTAATAATTTTTAAATGAATTACTACCTGATATTCGGGAAATATTTAGATATTTTGAAATATGTTGAAAGTGTTTAAAGTTTGCATTTGGTTGCCACTTTTATTGATATTTTGGGAAAAAAATCTAATGAGGTTTTCAGGCTTTGAATTTTTTTAAATTTCCCCAAGGGCCAACCATCTTTTGAAGCTTACACTTTTAAATTGAACAGTTAAAATGAACGTAAACCGAACGTGAACGAATATGATTGCAATATTTTTTTTGCGATCAACTTGAACCGAACCCGAACGAACACGAACATGAAAATATAATATTTTTCGAACATAAACTGTTCAGTTCGGTTCAGTGGGCACCTCTATTCCTCATACTAATCGCATTCAAGTTGAATTTTACTGTAAATGAAAGAAATTCGAACCAAACTATTTACACTAAACGTTTATATGACTGAACTTCCATGAATTATAGACACATGGGGGTTGTATTTTGCTATTCATTTGAATAATATTAAAGAATCTGAATTGCGATGTTTAGTGGTCGTAACGTAAAAATTACCCTCTGGTTGAATGCCTTCAGAAATAGTTGATTTTATCGAACAATTAACTATCCTTCAGTTTTATGGCCATTTAATGCAATGAAAATAAGTTCAATAAAACTGCAATCATGTGTATCTCATGTGTTGCCAAGATTTATTTTTCTCTTGATTCTCTAAACAATTCAAGATACAAAAAAATTATGCCTCATCATGATCACAACAAGTTTATTGAGAGTTTCTACAGATAGGAAAAACAAATTTAATAAAAACGATTAAATTCTTTCACCTAATTCAAACTTCGACGATAACAAAATGCAAAGTCAAAGAGGTCAAAGATGTTCCGTTTAGCACTTCAGAAGATAAGAAATGAGCGATAAATGACAGCTATTCATTGAAATTCGCAAATAGCAAACACAAATATCATATTCTAACAAAAAGATGTTTAACTTGTGTGACGTGCTAGGGGGAAGACACGGGCTCTAAAATTGCTAAATTTTCTTATTTTTTTTAAGTAAACCGCATACAACGTGTACATTTGAAACTCAAATGTTTTTACGGGATAGATCTTAGTTTTTTTTTTTTTTTAGTTTTCTAGTTTGAATGAAAGGAATTCTGTCTAATTCAAGCTTAGTGTATGTGTGGTATTCAAAGAGTTGGCTTCAATCGACTTAATACACATAAAATTCAAATAACAATGGACACTTTAGTGAAAATTGACACAAAAGATTTACCAACATTAAAAAAAACTATTTTCGCCCAATCGATGCAATAATGGTTTTCTTGCTTACATGACAATCCACAATTACATTCGATGGTTTGAACAAGATCCAAAGAGAAAAAATGGAAATTTTGATTTCAGACCACCAGAAGATATTCAATTACGGCCAGTGACACAGGTTCATGATTTGGAAAATGCAAATTTGGTATGGCCACATCGCAATCTAGACTCTCTCGATTTATTAGAGCGAATGGCGAAATATAATGTGAGTGTTGGTGCTTTTTTAAATGACAGTACCTTAGTTGCTTGGTCTTTGCGGTAAATGTTCAATTTTCTAATTTTAATATGTTAGTGAATACATGTTTGAATTGCACTTAAATTGAAATTTTATTTCAGCTATTCTACGGGACTGGTTGGACCACTACAAACAGATGAAAAATTCTTTGGCCGAGGATATGGCTCGTTAGTGACTAGAGCAATTTCCAAAATGATTGCTGAAACAAATGAAAATATATACGTTGGCATTTCTGAACATAATATTCCATCAATAAACGTCAAAAGAAATGTCAAATGGATTTGAAGTGAAACAATTTTTGCTATTCCATGCACTGTTTCGCTATTCCACTCGAATCCATTCACAGGCGTTGCTATTTTATTGCAATTTCTCGAATCTTTACACTAAAATTCTAATCCTATTCCACGTGTCTGCCCCCTAGGCTCGGCATTTATACAATTGGCGAAATACATGAACAATAAAAATCATGAACAATTGATCGGGTTTGAATAAAAACTCGACTTGTATTATTCAATTTAAATTGAATTGATATGGAGTTTGAAAACGCTGTTATTAAGACATACCAAGTAAGTTTTTGTGTACTTTTTTCTTTCTTTTTTGTTCAAATAAAATGTATAAATACAAATATCTCTCTTATCTTTTACGCATATAAGTGGCAGATTCATGCAATCAAAACTAGTTCATTTTCGTCGTTTTAAGCGTAAACAGCGTCGTGTTATAATGAATCGCATAGTGGAAATCGATCGAAAAGATTTACAGATTCTAAAGAATCTGTATACTCCGGACAGTTCAAAAAATTATACTACTTACACAACAATCGCTAACTACATTCGCTGGTTTGAGCAAGATCCAAATATGAATCACATAAAATTTTTCTGTTTAAATGGCGATTTTTCCGATGGCACCTTTGTAGTGACTGTGAGAGTTTATCAATGTGCTTTAAAATGATTTCAACTTTTAATCGTCTCATTTTCAGGATCAATTTGGGGCGTATGCAGACACATTTAACGAGTCTCATGAAAACCTTTCACAGCTCCTGCAACTGCTTGATTATTCAAAAGATTATTTTTTCTTCAGCATACGCCCTTCAATTCGTCCAACACTTAAAGATGCACTTCGAAAATCAAATGTCGACGTTGGTCATTATAGCACAACATTGCTCTATCGCTTATCGAAAGAAGATGCACTTAAATTTGATACTCAGTTAATTATAATTCATTTTATAGGAAATAAAACAGAGTATTTAATAATGAAAATTTTTCAGACCACCAGCAGGCATTCAGTTACGACCAATGACAGATTCACAGGATTTGGAGAAAGCTAATTCATGTTGGCTGCATCGATGGTCAGATTCGCTTGCATTTATCCAACGAATAGCCAAATTTAATCCAAGCGTCGGAGCATTCAGAGACGATGATGGAACATTAGTTGCCTGGATTTTTCGGTAAGCAAGAAAAGCACCTTATAATCAAAACCATCTTATATTGAATTTTAATTCTTTGAAAAATATTTAGCATTCAAACGGGATTCCTCGGAATTTTCCAAACGGATGAAAATTACTGTCGCCGGGGGTATGGTGGATTAGTTCTTAGGTGCATTTCAAAGAAAATCGCTGAATTGGGTCATGATGTTTATGCAAGTATTAATGAAGAAAATACGGTTTCACGATCGCTATTCGAAAAATATGGATTTAAAACAAATGAAAAAGCTAACTGGATTCCAACCAAAATGAATAAAACTTCGTCTAATGAATAAAACTCAATGCATCAAAAATAATTCACCAAATAAAAATTATATCTGATTTTTGAAGAAAGGTGACTACAATTATCTTTTCTTACAAACTAGAGTCCCAAAATTGCATATATTGTTCGAAGTATGGTCATTAGACTTGAGGAGGATGGATCAGGTAGCACTCTTAGTGGTCTAGCATTACTATTAGGGATATTCGAGGGATTATTTGTGGGGGGCTGTTGTGATGTAGGAGGTATAAATGCATCTGTCAATGGAAACTGTTCTCTTATCAATGCAATACCATCTCGAACAAGTCTAAAAAAAAACTCAGATGACAGACGTCCACTATCCTCATCCAAAGATAAAAAGTATTGGTCCCTCAGCGTCATTTGTTTCGTTTCAGCTGCTTTAGCTATAGCAGTACCTTCATCATACCTGTTGACAAATTATTAAAGTTAATCATCGAAAAATAATAAATTCCATATTCTCCGTACTCATCAAATATGGAAACATAAACATTCGGACATTGTAAACTTTATATGAATCGTTGCGGCGAAAGAGTAGCTCTTATTTTTCTCCAAATAATACTGCAACATAAAGTTTTTTATGAATAGTTTATTTGTTGTATCACAACAAATAAACCGTGTGAAAAAAACTTCATGTTGCAGTATTATTTGGAGAAAAATAAGAGCTACTGTTTCGCCGCAACGATTCATATATTCTTGAATTGTTGCCACATAAATGTTCCATTATTACGTGGTAAAGCGTTGCACCATTCCAATTGGACCATGCAAAGCCTGGAAAAACTACTGGTTGATAATCGGTTCCAAGATTTCTACATTCTTGTAAATCGGCTCCTTCTCTAGTTGCATACAGTTTGGCAGTCTCAATTATCCCATATGTTCCAACCGTCCATGACTGAATCATATTACAAGATCTATAAACTGATGCATACGCTGGTAAGGAAATACCATCATTTGTTCTCCAAGTATAAGGAACGCCACAAATGACATAATAATTTGCTTTTAAACGATTGATAAGATTCTGGGTGCCAGTGGGATTGTTTCCAAATATACAAATCCAATACCCCATATACAGATAACCGGTTTTCTATTCTGTCGTGCATATGCCGTGGAGTTTGTAAATCCACCCACGAAATCGTTGATATCTTGATTCAATTCCGTAGTAAAATTAGCCCACCCTGAAAGATCATACATTATGAAAAACTTTCTTCCATTAACCTCAGCAGCCTGTCTAACATTGTTGGCTACGCCATTCACCTGTTGACGACCTTGTCCACGTAGATCACTTCCGAAACGCTAAAATTCATCAAAGTAGAAAGAAGCGATAAGATTACTGCCAAAAATGATAAAAAAATAAAATTCACGTATAGTTGGCGCCACATTCTATGTAATAAGCGTATACTTTCCACTTAGTCGGTTGCAACGGAAAACAAGTTTGCATAGAAACATGCAGCGCCACCTATATGTGAATTTTATTTTTTATCGTCTTAGGCAATAAATCTATGGTTTTCTTATATGACTTCTTTATATACAAAGAACAAAATTCAAAATGAGAATTTAATACCTGAAGCGCCGCAGTATCGATGCCATATTGTTGCATTCATTTAAAGTGTAAGTTTACTGTCGACTGGTCCCATGAATTGAATAATTTAGCTGGTTGCCCGTTTGTGAGATTTGCAAAGCCAGTTTGATACAGGGATACAGTTGGAATTTGCAGTTGCCACGTCTTGGGGGAGTTTTGCCATCAGGCCCAGCCGTAATCGGCCAATGAACCCATCGCCCTCTTGGAGAACCGTCAGTCGGTGTAGTAAACCACCCTTATTTGTATTAAACGATTTAACTTCAATAATCATGAAATGGAATGTCGAAAGAAAAACAAAAGTTGAACTCGCTTCAACCATGTAATCAACCTTAATAACCGACAACCAATTTACCAACTACATCGCCAATCGAACTTTGAGAAAGTACTTGTTCAACAATAATCAATATCATGAACAAGGCATCAACGCTGTTGCAGAAAAAATCAATAAATGTTGCTAATGAGAAACACAGTTAGTGAAAAGTTTACCTTTTGAATAAATTCATTTTTTCAAAAAATCTCTTGTCGTTATCTTTCAGCAATATTGTTTTAATTAAATCAAACTGGATCTGTTTAACAATAAATGTATAGAGAGTAAATCTATTCTTCAAATGAATTCAGTAAAACTCACTTTCATCGTCGAAATACATTGAGTTATATCCTTTGTTTCTTTATATTTATACATTGATATAGACAAATCTCTCGCAAAGCAAATAAATTATTAAGTAAATAAAAAAAAAAACGAAATGCAACGTTTTTAATTACTTACGTATTATTATAATTCACGTAAATAAGAAAAAAATGTAGTATTAAGGAACAAAAGCTATTTACAGTTTCAAGAACTCTGAAAAAACATTCTCATTCAATTTACGTCATAATAATAATATGCATGGGTTGATCGCAAAAAGAAAGCATTTTTGTTCACAAATGTTGAACCCCAATTTTATAATATGTAAGTGCGTTCTTTCAACACTGGACTTTGGAACGGCGGAATGAATAACAAATTTATTACAATGCAGATGAAAATAATAAATATTTACGCATCGTTCAACGTACTAAATTTTAAAATATTTTTTTACATCATTCATTTTTGGTCAAGATAAAGCATTTTGTTAAAGTAAACATCTTCATTGCGCACTATACATTATAAATGACGGTCTCCCTCTGAAAAAATATACTCCAAGGAAGACTTTGATCTTTTTTTATCAGACATTGTGCTAACCAAGATATTTTCAGCATGTTAAAATACCTCACCTGGTCAAAGATATTTACGAATCAAGGAGACTAAGATTGTGTTTTTGGTGGTTTAAGAAAACACCCGAAATATGAATCTGTTAAAAGTTGTGAGAATTAAATGTTTGAAATAAAACCATAACTTGTTGTGAAAATCAATGCCAATTTTTTATTTTATGTTTAATTAATTCGAAAATTATGCAAGTCCAACGATTGCAAACACACTTTGAAGCATGGAGACTGCATTTGGTGGCATCATTCTAGCAAAAGCGCTCATAAATTGTGAAGAGGTAGTTGTAAGCTGCCCACTGGTTGTGGCCTGTTGTGATGTAGGAGGTATAGATGCATCTGTCAATGGGAACTGTCCTCTTATCAATGCCATACCATCTCGAACAAGTCTTAGATAAAAGTCAGATGAAAGACGTCCACGATCCTCATCCAAAGTTAAAAAGTATTGGTCCCTCGGCGCCATTTGTTTCGTTTCAGCAGCTTTAGCTATAGCAGTACCTTCATCATACCTGTTGAAAAATTATTAAAGTTAATTATTAAATAGTTTTTATTCATGTATTCTTCGTACTCATCAAACATGGCAACATAAACATTCGGACATTGTAAACTGCGTATATTCTTGAATTGTTGCCACATAAATGTTCCATTATTGCGTGGAATAACGTTGCGTGGGCCACCATTCCAATTGGACCATGCAAAGCCTGGAAAAACTACTGGTTGATAATCGATTCCAAGATTTCTACATTCTTGTAAATCGGCTCCTTCTCTAGTTGCATACAGTTTGGCAGTCTCAATTGTCCCATATGTTCCAACCGTCCATGGTTGAATCATATTACAAGATCTATAAACGGATGCATACGCTGGTAAGGATATACCATCATTTGTTCTCCAAGTGTGAGGAACACCGCACATGACATAATAATTGGTTTTCAATTGATTGATAATATTCTGGGTGCCAGTTGGATTGTTTGGTCTATTGCCACCTGGTTCACCAAATCCAATACCCCATATACAGATAACCGGTTTTCCATTTTGACGAGCATACGCTGGAGATTGCATTAGGTTTATGACTGTGCTGTTGAAATCTGGCATCAGTTGTGTTGTAAAGTTGGTCCAACCTGATAAATCATACATGACGAAGAATTTTCGGCCATATGTTTCGGCAGCTCTTTGCACATTAAAAGCAACTCCATTCATTTGTTGAGCTGCCAACGGAAAAACGAGGTCACTGCCGAAACGCTGATGAAAATTCAATTATTGTATGTACGTATGTACAAAATTGACGTTTTATAAATATTGGTTCTATTACATACCTGAAGTGCAGCTGTATCGATGTTGTAAGTTTGCATCCAACTGAAATGTGTGTTCACTGTCAATTGATTCCAAGAACTGAACAAATTAGCTGGTTGTCCGTTGCCCAACGCCGCTAAACCCGTTTGATACAATTGCAAATACTCGCGTACATCGGGGTACAGCTCAAATTTACAGTTTCCCGTACTAGGCGGAGTAGAACCATTTGGGCCGCTTCTAATCGTCCAATGGACCCAGCTTCTTCTCGGAGATCCATCGAATGGCGTGGCAAACCAACCTTGATAACCGACAACCAATTTACCAACGACATCGCCAACGGGACTCTGAGCAAACGCTGGCCCAATGATAAGCACCATCAACACTAATCTGTCAGTACTTAATTAATTTGAAAAATAAAAAGTTACTTGATTGATATTGAAGAAAGAGATATGGAAAACGTATAACCTTTACCTTCTTATAAAATTCATTTTTTATAATCTGTTCTCAATCTGTTAATTTATCAATCTAAAAAAATAAAAAACAGAAATTCTCTTTATGAAATGAATTTTCAGACTGATTAAATGAACGTCGATTTTCATTTATATATCCAACTTATGAAGATTGTTTTCATTTATTAAAAAAATGATAATAAAGATAACGAGTGATGAAGGAACATAGAATACAATTGTAATGCCTTAAGGAATGAGTTTGTATCGCCAAAATAACTTTTAAAATGTTTCGAAAATGCATACTATCGCTGGCGATTCATAGAGAATTAAATTGAATATTTTCAGTCGATTTCAATATTTTAACAATTTAGCTCTCAGTAAATGGAAAAGTAAGACAAATGTAATTATACAAATATATGATTTTTTTTTTCATTTTTTGATGCACAAGTACAATCGTTTTGCTCAAAATATTTATTTAGTAGTATAAAAAACATTTATTCTTTAAAAGAATTTCTTTTCAGTTGCTTCATTCATTAAAAGAATATAAAACAATTTAATTTACAATGCATATTCGGATACAAAACAAAAATATTATCCGATTATAACTTTTTTAAACAAATAAAATGTGAAGTTTATTTAATTTACGTCAAAGCTTATTTCTGTCATTGTTAACATTCGTTTCGAGTCTAGAATATCCTGAAATGCGTCAAAACACTTGAAAAAAATTGAATTCATGTTTCTCGAGATAAACTAAGTTGAACTTTAAAACATGTGGCGCAATACAGACCTCTTTGTTTTTCTGCAATTCAGCAAACTTTCAATCAGTCGAATCATATACCTTAATTGGTGCACGAAGTTTGCAATAAAAATTACTTCACAGATTGGTCAATTTCATTAACGACACATGAAAAAAAATCAATGGAAAAAATACACACACATTTATGTATAGGTTTAAAAATGGGGCGTTTATTTATTTAAAAACAATGTACAATTTATGCTTCAAAATATTTTGTGACTATAACTTGAGCTGGGTTTGCTTTGGAATTCAATTTGCTGTTATTTGACAAAACCAAATGCCTTTTAGCTAACTGTGCGTGTGTTTTTGAACGAATAATTTGGATGACAGGTGATGACACTTTAACCGAGCTCACAAGTGGATCATCGTGGATGGGTTCGTCTATATCCATAGCAACTGCACTGCCACTTCCAACGCCAATTGACGGGATGTTCGCACTAAATGTGTACTATAAAGATATTCTCATAAGTTAAATTCTTAAATTCATTGAAATGACTTCCTACCGAAACCAAATGAAGAAGAACAAAAATGCCAAAATAAATGAAACTTTTCATGCTGTTCAGACGACACTTCAACGATTACTAAACTAAAATCGAAATTTAAAAGAAGTCTAATCCAAATAATTGCTAAAGACTTGTAAATATATTTACCGAGATAGCATTAAAATGGAAATTGAACGTGAAACAATAACGCTAACGAAGCTGCAATTCGAATGAAAAAGAAAAAAATGTGTGCACAACGATGAATAAACGTACAATTTATGAGAAATTATTGACTCAAATGATGGTTACATTTAGTCATTGCTGTATTCTATGCCTACTTCGTTTCGGAATCAAGCAATTCAATCACAATCCATATCTATGAAAAACATTTTCCTACATGATGTAATAAACAAACAAATCTCATTCAAATTCTTTACTTAATGATATAAATGTAAATGTTGCACACCACATACCGTTCTCTATTTCAAGTAATCAAAGTGATGTCACCACATCTATCTAAACATAAAAAAATATGTCATTACTCAAAAAACGATTCTCGACGAAGTTTTTTTTTACTTGGAGTATAGATTTATCAGTTATAAACGCCCGCATTTAGATTACATGAATTTCATGCTATTTTAACATGTTTTTTTTTTTTTCACTTTTTAATCAAACAAATATTGCATTACGTATCTTTGATATTTTTAACTTTAAACAAAGAAGATAACATTACATCTCATGGACTCATTGAACTTTGTATGCAAGTAGCAGAGTATTACACTGTAAGAGAAATCGATTTAAAACCATATAAAGGCCTGGAAGCGACTGTTCGGAATGGTATCTGCGTGAATACGCCCTTGAATCGAGGTACATCTGATGGATGCCATGTTGTTTTTTTCTCTTTCTGTGAATTTTTGCTGACCAGTGATTGTTTGTTATATACAAATGCACGTGTTACACTGATTTTTGTAATTTTTGCGATTTCGTTTTCCACAGTGTAGCACATGCACACTGAAAAAGAAATCGTATATAACTATTCGTCCAACTACATTAAACTTCATCTCTCTCTGCGTGTGCGTGTATGCAGTTTTCTGTATACTGTATGCGGGTCTGTACGTATGTTTAATCAGT